CCACTAAAGATTAATGCTAAACAAACCACCTTGTTCTTAAGCTTTGCTTCCACCACCAAGATCTAGCCATACCCAAAACCTTGATGGTAATAAACATGCTGAAAACATGTAATCAAATCAAATTTGTAATAAAAAGATGGTACTTTATGCATCAACAAGGTGATCTGAGATCTAACATATCCATCCATAATATGAAAATACACCCATAAAGTTTAATTAATATCCATCATTGGCTTTCATTATAGAAAGGGGTGGAATCCATTTTTTCTTTATACAAAAAAAAAACTTACACAAAATTGGTAAGCAAAGGTACAAAGAAGTAAACAGGAACTTTTCTTTCAATGATACCGATGAAACAGAGGGTAGAGGAAACTGGGGTTTTAACAGAGAAAGAAATATGTAAGCTTTTTGAAGTTCTGGCAATGGCTGCTGGGATGATCCTTTTTAGGTTTATATAACAAACCCCCGACCCTAACTCTGAAACAAACTGTGGTTAGGATTCCGGGTTTTGCGGCTTCTTTATCGTGGTTACTTTATATCATCAATCTGTCTTTTACTTCAGCTTAGTCTTTTCGTGTCTTTAAGCCTCGTAACCTCCATTTTTACATTAGACTATACTAGGTCCTGAGCTGTTGTACACCGTTTTTTAATTTAATTAAAATATTATATTTAAAAAATAAATACTATCAAAGACACTAACTTTTAAGTAAGGTACTTTTAAATTTTGATATTATAAATGATTTTTATATATTTAATTTTGATTGATTGATTAATAATAAATTAGATGTTTGTAATTATAAAAAAAATTAAGTGTAAATTAATAAATGATTTTTTACAATATTTAATTTTGATTGATTGATTAATAATAAATTAGATGTTTGTAATTATAAAAAAATTAAGTGTAAATTATATGAGTAAACACTAATTTTTGATTTGTTTTATTCTGGTCATTGATTTTAAAAATATTACATTTTATAATTTATGTAACCCCCTCAGACCCATGCAGATAGCCCGATCCGATCTGGAGTGTCACATTAGGCCACTGAAGCGACCCACTGTAAAAAAAATAATGGAAAATTTAAAACTTTTCTTAAAATATGTAAAATCATAAAATGGTTTATCATTATTAAAAAATAAAACAGGTTTTTCAAACTCAGATATAAAACAAAATAAAATCTACATGCCCCCTAATCACATGTACCATTCTCTGAAAGCAACGCCGGAAGAACTCCCTTATTGATGTCGACAGCTGCACTGGTACAATTCTTGTAACCTGTCATGATGAGTAATAGAGTGAGCTTCGGAAAACTCAGTAATACAGAACTACCAGATGATGTTACATGACATGCAGTTAAATTGAAAGCCATATAATTTCCTTATTGAATCAGACGTATACCCGTTGCGAAATAATCTGGGGTTCCATCAGTAGTTCATCAAATTGAAGCCATGAAGATCATAGTTCATAGGAAGCATTCAAAGTATGACATTTTCAGGAGATTGAATAGGATGTCTAGTGTGTTCCATCAGTACGATAAAATCATAATATGTACACTGATCAAATGATAGTTCAGTAAAATCCCATAAACCATACTGTAGTGGAGCTTTTTAAACTTGTATTTTAAAACCATCTTACAAAGAGTTAACCTAAGGGAACATCTTAGGGCCTGAGAGCCTACCCAAGAAAGTTCGGGGCTACGGGGCCTACCTAAGAACACATCTTAGGGCCGCAGGGCCTACCCGATAATGATCTCAGGGTCGCAGAGCCTACCTAAGAGTCACATTAGGTCCATAAAATTTTTTCAGCTTTATCAGAGTTGTACTTTACAAATCTGTATCTCCAAGATACAGTTTATACAATGATACAAATCCATAAGCCATCACCGTTAAGTCGGTGCATCCATAAAACAGTAACCATAAATTTCAGTGTACCACATGTTAAAACAATAAAACACTTTTTCAAAATATAAGGAACACACTAGAGAATCCAAATATTTTTCAGATGCATTTTGTAGCTATCAGAATGGATAACATGAACTTGTGCAATTTGATCGGATTCCAGGAATAAGATCTTATTGAAGAGAATTCATTTCTAACCGATCTAATCAGACATTTCAGATTGATACTTTAGAATTCCACTAAGTTTCCATGTGCATTAGGAAAACGTTCAGGAACCTTTATACATAATAATTCTAAATTCAGATTTACTACGATTGATTCCATTACCCAAACAATCAGGGGTATTCAGGAATATACTTTGAATTCATAGGATTTCAGCCCAATTGAACCAAATGAGGTATTCATAATCTTTTCCTCTGCGTTACTTGCGTTTTCAAATATGACCGAAGTGATTTTAGATGAAAATATAAAATCGAAGATTCAAGTCATTTACAATTTATGACTATCGATCGTATTATCAAACAACTGGAGTTACACAACTACCAAACTGATGCATGTCAACAATTCAATTCATTATCCTTCCAGTGTATTCACTCTTTAATACCATAATGTAAATCCATAGATTATCCCCATAATCATCGCTGAATAGATCTTCCAACGGTCTTTATTTCATTTCTACGTTTCAACGATGTCAGGAAATACAGACGTACTTGATTCATGGTACAACCCATTAGGACAATTCATCATGTAAGTTCAACAGTGTTTCCAAACTCATCCAATCACTTATTTAATCATCAGTCATTGAGGTAACTTAATTCATTCAACAATCAATTCTATCCCAGTTACTTTAGAGTTTTCCATAGTAATTCAGATGTTTCTGAATTTCAGATACATATGGTATTTCCATTCAATTTAATTTAGTCATATAATAATGTCAATATGGTATTCGTGGTTGATTTGTCTCATGAATATCCACTTCTTAGTACCGAATACGCTATAGAGTTGAGCTGAGCCAATTGCTTCCAGAATTGTCATCGATCTAAACTTGAGAAGACGAACACACATTCAAGTGATATTTATGCCATTCAAGTATTAACATAGCTTTAGGGTTGATCTACTCACTTAAATTGTGTCCATTACTTTTAAGGGTAGTACAACACCTATGTTTATTTGAATTCCTTAATTAACCCAAGACATTTACTTAGTCTAGGTCATAAAGGCATTTTGGTCATTTTGATGTTCAATATTTTCCATTCATTTCAAAGCTTGATGATATCCATTTATTCCTGGGCTTGGTGATATTCTTAAGTCATTTCTATTACAGGAGTATTTTGGTTATTTTGCATATCCAATGCATTTCAATATGTCTCTTCCGTCCGATCTTATTATTTAATTCAGACTTATCATATATTTCATTCCCTTCGAACAATTCTGACAGAATAGCACCCTTGATAAATTTATTCTTCAGGTATTTACTCACAACTCGGAGATTTCCAAGTTAAAAGTCATTTCAGATATTACTGACGAATTATCAGGAATTTTCCATACAAAAGTATGATCTCAACAATTAAATCAGTAATTTATCAGTTTAAATACAAATTCTTAGGTTACTTTCTCATTCAGCGTCAACTTGGATTATTTTTACCACTAAATGGCATTTTCATAATTTCTTAACCAGATAATTTCAGTATTAACTCTTAACAAAAATAACTATAATTTAGAGATCCTATGATTAATCGCTTTCCCGAACATTCTTTGATATTGAAATCATTCCTTAACAGACTTCTAATATCTTGCACAACCCTCTTAGGGTTAAAAATCGATTATTCAAATTTTATAAGCAAACTAGCATTTCTTATGCACATCTGTAGTATTATCAGATCAATAAGTCTTTCAAGAGTTATTAATCAATTTCCAAGAACAATTATTGTCATTTTTCAACATAAGGGTATTTTCGTAATTTTACCAAACCGAAGTTTTCTCAATTTTCCATACAAGTACCTTTAACATTTAACCTTTGATGATATAAAAATATAAGTTGCAAAACCAGAATGATTCATTTATAACATAATCACAAAACTTAGTTTAATACCAACTGTCCTCCAATTCCTTATATTAATCATCTAAACCATATTTCATTACCGCATTTTTATCGTATTTGGATCGAGTGTAGAAAAGAATTAACTACACAAATAAAACCAAACCTTATCTTATTTATGCATTTATCAATATCAACATATTCCATAAAGCATAAAGAGATAGTAAAGTATTACCTCGATTTTTGTGCAATACTGATCGACCATTAAATTCCATTCGAACGCCCTCGATCTTGAAATCATCTTCCAATAATTCCTCAAATACATATTAACAGAAATTTTATCAAAACGGAACTTAATTCCGAAAAACGGATCGAATCGGGTGACTAATCAGTGACAAACATCTTACCGGATTTGAATTTGGCGAAACGGACCTCAAAATCAGAACATCAACAAAACCCAAGATATTAGTCTTAAATTCCAGCTCACCAACTTGATTTCTAGCTTCCAATATTTTTTCTAATGAACACAGATACTTTATCGTACAAATACGACTTCCAATAATTTTCCTTTCAATAAAAAAATAACTTATTAAAATCTAATTAATAATTTGGAAACCCAATTTGCATAACTAAAAACTTAAAGAGCTGGTAATATTTAATTACTAACATCATGGACTAAATTGATCTTGTAAAAACTATTATGTCATAACTATAACCACTTGGAAATTAAGAGACAAGGTAAGATCTCACCAAACTTGGATGACATACCTTGTGGTTTACCCCTTTTTTGCATGATATCTACAATTCCCCACAACCCACGTGCTTTACTATTTCTTCACTCCATACTTTCTTTCACGCATACTTTCTTTACTTGCTTCCTCATTTTTTTTTTTTTTATTCTTTCTCCTATGGAATTCATTACAGATTTTCTTCAAAAGGGTCGTCTTCCCAATACCGCCTTGTCCACATAATCTAATGGTCCTAACATTTTCATTCTCAATTGCTTCCCATGCCTTCTCAACCGCAGAATCCAAGCTAACAGTGTTCTCCAATGGTCACTCGGGCATTAGAACTCGGTTACGTGGTAGCTTCAAAACGATGGCAGAGTATGAGTAGAAAGACTCCGCCTTACGCAGCAGCTCCGTCACGGAATCCATCTTCTTAAAGAATCGCTTCCCGATCTCGTAGGTGGACTTCAGGTTCCTCGGGCAGCAATCTCCTACACATTTGTTTTTGAGTTCATCGTCGCCTTGTTGAACAATTATGTTTAGTTCGCCGAGAATGGTTTCTGAAACCCCTCAGGAGAGAATCTAATTTTACTCATAGCACTGTCAGTGTTTTGCATCAATTCACGCATGAGTTCAGGGTTCCTTGCAGCTTCTAATATCCATCGAAGAATGCTAGAATAGTTAAGTATATGCCCAAGCTCTGGATTGTGTTGATTGCTTTAATATATGTATTATTGGGCGCACCACTATTATAATAAAAGAAAATAATCGAATTACAAACCGAAAAGATGAATCATAGTTGCTTTCTCTGTCAGACTCCAAAGACTTTTGTGTTTATGATTGAGTTTGTATAATAATTTTTTTTTTCAATCATAGAATGCCAACTCAATAATTTATCCACTTCTACCTACTATATCATTCTCAATTTGTTTATTAATACAATGATATGATAAATAATTATTTGTCAACCAATTTCATATCATTACTCATATTTAAACGGAAAGAAATCTAATCTCATATTGGAGTATGATAATTTATGTTATTAGTTTATTATATTTTAGTCACTGAATCGTAATATTCGTTAGTTTAATCTAACACAATAATAAAAAAAATGTTAATTTCAAATTTGACTCTTATACTTTGAAAAACTTATTTTTCATCATTTAAAAAATCTAAAAACACTCTTTTAAAAAAAAAACTTCTATTTTCTAACTCAAACTCTAAATTTGGTGCTCCTGACATCTTTAGTTGGTGTTTGTGTTGTTTCCGATGAAGGGAGTTGGACCAAGCACATCAAAATTGAACACTTGTCTCTACAATCCATACCAAAGCTTGAATTTCCGAGTTATCGTAAATAACCCTAAATCAAAATCATTCAGCAACGTTGTTCCTGAGGCAAAAATTTGACCTTCTATATCGACTCTGCTTATTTGTGTGATTATGTCATACACAATCGTCGAACTCTTCTTAAATCTCAAGAATTTTAAGCAAAACGATACTTTGAAACTCAAGATCAATCGGATCTTGAATAATTCGGGTTATACATGTTGATCATGAGAGAATATAATCGATGTTGTGGGCTTGATTTATACAAGGATAGAAAGCGGGGTTGTGGCAGTGATTGAATGTGATGATGTTTGGAGTAACGTGACGATGGGTCTTGCAACTAGAGCTGTTTGTTGGGTTGCTATAGATATAAGGTCTGTTACAGTTATCAGTACGCTTGGCAAGTTGACGATTGGAGCCGTGGTTGTCAAGATAGTTCCCAACCTTTCTGGAGTTCCTATTCACCAAAGGTAATACAAACGATGACAATGACATCAAGTCTAGGGTTTGAGTTAGAGAATACAGATTCTTTTTAGCAAAAAAAGTCATTTTCAGGGTTTTTATGAGGTAGAAAAAATGAACTTTTAAAAGCTTGAGAGTTAAATCAAAAATACTCCAGCTGACGCCCAAGACAAGCTAAGCATCAGCTAGTTATTCATTTCACGTGGACAGTGGCTGACCGTGATGTTTCATTGCAAACTTAGGTAGCTACGAATTCTTCTAATAAAATGGACTCGTTCGCTTGAGCGGGGGCGTTGAGCCTCTGGGCAGCTTCAAGGTTGTACATCTCAAGATCCAGCCGTCGCACTCCATGATTCCAAGCAATGTCGAGACAATCGAGAAGGGCCCAAAGCTCAGCTTGGAATAGAGCACAACGACCTATATTCCTGGCATAACCTAGAATCCAATCACCTTTGCCATCACGGAGAGCACCTCCACCAGTAGCAGTTATAGTAGCTTGGTTCATGGCACCGTCAGTGTTAAGTTTTATCGCACCTGTGCTTGGCGGTTTCCAGTGGCTCTCCTTCCTGTACATCCTGCTGTTATTCAATTATATTTAGGGTAAATTATATAATTGACCACCTAACTATTACACCTTTTTAAATTTAACCATCTATCTTTCAATTTTATCAATCAGGTCATCCAATTATTTAAATGTATTCAATCAAGCCACTTGTCGTTAACCTTTAACAGAATAGAAAATAACCTCAGTGACCGAAAATGCCTTGTAATATACGATTTTGACCAACTTTTTTTCGATTTGCCAAAATGACCAACAAAATCGCAATGCGATCTCTAAATCGCAACGCGATTTTGACTATCGCATTGCGATTTTCCAAATTCGCGTTGCGATTTTCTAAAATCGCAACGCGAATATGTAAATCGCAACGCGATCTCCAGTATCGCAAATCAGTTTCCAGATTCGCAACGCGATTCTGACTATCGCAACGCGATAATACATAATCGCAACGCGATAATACATAATCGCAACGCGATAATTCATAATCGCAACGCGATTCTAACTATCGCAATGCGATAATACAAAATCGCAATACGATTTTTCAAATTTACGTTAGTCCAAATTCGTTGCGATAGTCCAAGTTTACGTTGCGATTTCTTAAAATTTTCTCTAAAAAGATAGTATCCGCGCGGACGTGTCGAAGACACGTATTACCACGACCACACGTGGGACGGCGGCGGCGGCGGTGCGCGAGAGTCCCCTTTATTCTCTTCCACTCAACAAGGAAGTGGGAAATCCAACCTTAAATACCCATTCCCAATAGTGTTTCCCATACTATGTGGATTGAGCATTGCAAACACTTGAGAATCTTTTACACTATCGCAACACATTCTTTATTGTTTCAAACTAAGACCTTACAAATGGCTTGGGAATCTTTTACACTATCGCAACACATTATTTATTGTTTCAAACTCCACGTGAATTTGGAATAGTTAAAATGTAAACTTATTTTGGATTTTTCACTATCGCAACACATTTTTCAAAATCGCGTTGCGAATCTGGATATTCGCGTTGCGAATTTGGAAACTGAGTTAAAAAATTAGAGTTCGCGTTGCGATTTTGTTGGTCATTTTGGCAAATCCAAAAAAAGTTGGTTAAAATCGTATATTATAAGGCATTTTCGGTCAGTGAGATTATTTTCTCTTAACATAATTGAATACATTTAAATTAAAGGTTAACGGTAAGTGGCTTGATTGAATACATTTAAATAGTTAAATGACCTGATTAATAAAATTGAAAGATCGATGATCAAGGTAAAAAAGACAATAATTAAGTGGTCAATAGTATAATTTACTATTATATTTAATATAAAATAGTATAAATCACAACGCATATACATGGTTCATTTCTCTTTCTACATGTTTAGGGTTTAAGACAAGTGGAGTGAACAAGATTGAAATTAACCGTCAAAAGACCAATTGCATGGGGCATCCAAATGGCACTAAATTAACAATATTTATATCCAATCATTTTTTTATATAGTTTATTATGCATAATCGTGTTTAATATATTAGGATAAATTATATATTTAGGTAGCCACCTATTTTCGTGGTTTCATTTTGATCACTCAATTATTTTTCTTTTCAAAATCATACCTATTGTTATATTTTAGTCGCTCACCTTTAAAAAATTAACGATGATGATAACGTGTTACTATAAGGTAATATCATATTATCATTGAAAAATAAAAAGGTACCATATTAATTATTTCTATTATCTTTTACGAGAGTGATCAAAACGTAACGTTATATACGATTTAAAAAAATAGTTACGTGATCAAAACAGAATCACAAGAATAGGTAGATGACTAATATATAATTTACCCCGTTCTTAATAGTTTTTAAATTTTAACATATTAATGTTATAACATATTATTGTCTTTTATATTGTGTTGAATTGTATTTTATACTAAGAAATCTATTAAACATGCTTTACCTCGTTCAAAGTGTATGAAAAAAAAGATGTTTCACGGTTACAAGTAGGCTTGGCTACTTTACTTTCCACCGGCTTCCATCTTTAATAAGCTAAACAAATTGGCAAGTTGGTTTTTATGGAAACCAAGATGATTTTTTCTAAGCTACGTTATGATCAACGTGTAACCCCTAGACCCCCTATGCGTTTCGACTAAGTCTAGTGGATCACATTATAATTATTAAATACATTTTTCGCAACCGTTATTCCATCAATATAAATCACATTATAAATAACATGGAAATTAAACAATTTATACTATCAAAATCCAACTCGTAAATATAGTACAAATAAATAATAATTTAATTTAAAACATGTCTTCAAATTCAATCACAATAAACCAAGGAGTAGTAGCAAAAGTGTTATCATTATAAAATCCGATATTTTAAAATAAGGTCCATGTCACCAAAATAAGTCACTTGCCAGATAAAAACATTACAATCTGATTTACTCAAGAGATATGTTGATCCTCCAAGTGCTCGAACCAAGGTATCTACCCAACAGTATCTGAAAGGGGGAAAACATTTTCAAAAGGTGAGCTAGGCTCAGTGTGTCCCAACATTTCCATAAAATCACAATAGGTACAATCATAGTCCAGTAATCTCACAAATTCGTAAAGAGTTTAACTTTTTGAAAATCATAGTTTAAACCCTTTCTGGTACACCATCAGTATTCCCAAAATTATTTTCCATATAGCTTACTTTATCACATAGCAAAAAGAAAGCCGACTTAAGGATAGGCTCTGAAGCTTGTATCCTTAAGCCCAAGTCAATAAGTCCATATAGCTTACCCTAAGCACACAGCAAAGGAAAGCCGACCTAATGAACATCTTGGGCCCTCAAGAGTCACATAGGCCCAGTTAGCTGATCAGAGCTATTCCATCGTATTTCAATTCCAAATTCAATTGCAACCGTGACATAAATTCCATAAATCCAAAAACATGGTAATCATATACCATTTCAAAACAAAATTAGATAGCAGCCATATTCCATAAATTGTCACATTAAATTGGTGCATCCATAAAACAATAGCCAAGATTGCTGGTTTCACCACGCTCTGCTACAGTTTCGAATGGGTGAATACTGGCACACGTGGTTTAACTGATCTAGAAGAGCTGGGTCGAGCTGTCGAACGATCCGGAGAGTCTCTTGTACCTTCAAAACAATATTATCAGTCTCAAATCCTATTTAATTGTTCAAAGCTAAACTTCTTAAGTATATACGTATTTTTCGAGTTTGACTATCAATTTGAGGTATTTTGAGTCTGAATTTGGCCAAACGGATTGTGGAATCGGAATCAGGGCGTCGAAAAACATAAAGTATGACTTTTCAAAAATTCAAATTCTTGGTCAAAGTCAAAGTCAACCACTTTGACCGTAGATTTGGAGACCTTCGGAAAGCCATTTTAAGTTTTGGTCAAAGCAAGTCAACGGTTAACGGTAACGGTCAACGGTCGGTCGGGTCGGGTCAAGGGTCGGTCGGTCGGTTAGACCGGTCAAGCCGGTTCAGACCGGTCAAACCGGTTGAAACCGGTCAGAACCGGTTGAAAACCGGTTTAAACCGGTTTCCAGTAGCCACTCGCCCTGCGGCGCGTGAGGCGTCCTCCGGGGCCCTAAAAATCCCGGAAAAATTTCTAAAAATTTTGAGCGATTTCAAGATACTTACAACAATCGGTTCAAATTTTTGAACGGCGGAGAGCTCGATTTCAAATCGGCCGAATCTTTGACTGCACCACCTCCTCACGCGCCGCCGTCTACGGCGGACAGGTTGACACCGGTGAACTCGGAACGCACAAGGAACACGATGGTGCGGGAGATGTCGTAAACGGAGCAACGATCAGCGTGAATTTAAGATTTCCTCGGCGATAGAGCTAACAAAACCGTCGCTACTTTGACTGGAAATTCCCGACGTTTGGCCGCGTTTCGCTTCAATTAATTTGAAGGGTTTGTTCCTCGCTCGATGATGACACAACGGTGGGTTTAAAACGATGATCGGAATTTGGACGGCGTCGGAATCGGAGTTGGAAACTGCGTATGGGAAAGGAAAATTGGGAGCATTTTGGTTCTAAAAATCAGAACCAAATGTACGCTTATAATCAAAGCTGCCGACAGTTTAGGGTAAATTCAAGGCTTGGTCCTTGGATTTCCTTCACTTCTAAAATGGCCTATAAACTCTCATAAATTTTGATTTAGTCACCAACAATTTACCAATTTTCACAATTAACCTCTAAAATTTCAATTAAATATTATTTTGTAAATATTCGGGTTGTTACAATTCTCCCCCTCTACAAGAAATTTCGTCCTCGAAATTTACCTTATGAGAATAGTTGAGGAAACTGAGCCTCCATTGACTCCAATGTCTCCCAAGTAGCTTCTGAGGGGCCTCGATTACTCCACTGAACTTTGACCATTGGAATTCGTCTATTCCGAAGAACTCGTTCATCTCTCTCCAAGAACTGAATGGGCTCCTCTTCATATGACAAATCAGGTCTCAACTCTACTTCTTCAACCTGAATAATGTGACCTGGATCTGGACGGTATCTCCTCAACATTGATACATGAAAGACATCATGAATACGACTTAGCTCAGAAGGCAACTCAAGCTGATATGCAACAGGTCCTACCCTCTTCAAGATACGAAATGGTCCAATAAATCTTGGACTCAATTTACCCTTACGCCCGAATCTCAATACTTTCTTCCAGGGTGAAACTTTCAAAAAGACCCGATCTCCCACTTCAAACTGTATATCCTTCCTTCTTTGATCTGCATAAGATTTCTGCCTATCAAATGCCTCTTTCAGACGGTCACGGATTAATCTGACTGTGTCCTCCGTCTCTCGCACTAACTCAGGTCCCAACGTTTTCCTATCACGCAACTCAGTCCAACAGATCGGAGTGCGACATTTACGCCCATAGAGCGCTTCATAGGGTGCCATACAAATGCTGGTCTGATAACTGTTATTGTAAGCAAATTCAGCCAACGGAAAAAAGTTCTCCCAACTACCATGAAATCGATTACGCAACCCCGCAACATATCCTCCAGAATGAATTACTCTCTCAGATTGACCATCAGTTTGTGGATGAAAGGATGTACTATAATCCAATCTTGTTCCCAAAGCCATATGTAACGCCTTCCAAAATCTCGAAGTAAATCTCGGATCTCGATCAGAAATAATAGACAATGGAACACCATGCAATCTGACAATCCCTGAAATATACAATCTTGCCAGCTTATCCAAAGTATAATTTACTCGCACCGGAATGAAGTGATAACTTTGTAAGTCTGTCAACAATCACCCAAACTGAATCTTTTTCGAAGGAGTCATCGGCAAGGCAGTAACAAAATCCATAGTAATACGCTCCCACTTCCATTCAGGAATCTTGATAGGCTGTAACAAACCTGATGGATGTGATGTTCTGCCTTAACTTGCTGACAAGTCAAACACCTAGCCACAAAGTCAGATATGTCTTTCTTCATACCAATCCAAAATACCTCTCTCAAATTCCGGTACATCTTATCTCCGGGGTGCATAGCATATGGACTACTATGAGCCTCAGTAAGGATAGTCTGCCTCAACTCAGCATCATCAGGCACACAATATCTACCTTTAAAGCATAAAACTTCATCCTGATCAATTGCGTAATCTGTGTTTGTCCCCTGCTCTACTTGCTCAAAGATGGAAAGCAAGGAGCTATCAAGGGGCTGCTTAGCTTTGATCTCATCAACCAAGGTCGGCTTAACTTGCAATTCTGCTAACAAAGTGCCATCGTCATATAAATTCATCTTGGCCATTAAAGACTTCAACTCTGATACCGTCTTTCGACTCAAAGTATCTGCTACAATGTTAGCTTTACCAGGGTGGTAATCAATCACGCAATCATAATCCTTTAGGAGCTCTAACCAGTGACGCTGTCTCAAATTAAGTTCCTTCTGGGTCAGAAGATACTTTAAGCTCTTATGATCTGTGAAAATGTAACACTTCTCTCCATAAAGATAGTGTCTCCAAATCTTCAAGGCAAAAATTACTGCTGCCAACTCTAAATCATGAGTAGGATAGTTACTCTCATGCGGCCGCAGCTGACGGGATGCATAAGCCACCACCTTACTTTCTTGCATTAAAACACAACCAAGTCCTGAATGTGAAGCATCACTATACACTGTAAAATCCTTCCCGGACTCTGGTTGAATCAACACCGGTGCTTGAGTCAAAACCACCTTTAATTTCTCAAAGCTCTCCTGTTGTGCCTCGCCCCAGTCAAACAGCACATTCTTCCTTAACAACTTTGTCAAAGGAGAAGCAATGATCGAGAAGTCCTCAACAAAACGTCGATAATAACCAGCCAAGCCCAAGAAACTGCGGATTTCAGATACGTTCTTAGGTCGTTTCCAATTCATAATAGCCTCTATCTTGCTGGGATCAACCTAAACACCTCGCGCAGAAATAATATGCCCCAGAAATGACACTTCTTGAAGCCAAAACTCACACTTGCTTAGTTTGGCATATAGATGATGCTCTCTCAAAGTCCGCAGAACGATCTTCAAATGCTCGTCATGCTCTGCCTCAGTACGAGAATAGATCAGAATATCGTCAATGAAGACCACCACAAATTGATCCAAATATGGTCGGAACACCCGATTCATCAAATCCATAAAAGCTGCAGGAGCGTTCGTCAAACCAAAAGGCATCACTAAAAATTCATAATGACCATATCTAGTGCGAATGGCCGTTTTTTGCAACATCAGATCCTTTAACTTTCAATGATAATACCCGAACGAAGATCAATCTTAGAGAATACAGTAGCTCCTCACAATTGATCAAATAAGTCATCAATCCTGGGTAATGGGTATTTATTCTTGACCGTCATCTTGTTCAATTTCCGATAGTCAATACATAATCTTAGCGACCCATCCTTCTTTTTCACGAATAGAACTGGAGCTCCCCATGGTGAAGTACTATGTCGGATAAATCCTCGATCGAATAATTCTTGCAATTGGACTTTCAACTCCTTAAGTTCCTTTGGAGCCATACGATAAGGTGCCATAGAAATAGGTGAAGATCCTGGATAAGTCTCAATCTCGAACTCTACCTCTCTATCAGGAGGTAACCCAGGCAACTCCTCCGGAAAAACATCAGGAAACTCGCTAACTGTACGAATCTCCTCGATCGTGGACAATGTACCTTTGGTGTTCAAATACAAGCAATGAAGTCTCATATCCCTTCCGGATCATATGATCAATTTCCATCGCTGAAACTATTGGAGAGATAACCACGCCGTTCACTAATTAACACAACAGTCCGACCATCTGAAGTCTTCAGAGTAGCCCGCTTGTATTCGCAATCTAGCTTTACCTTGTGTTTATTCAACCAATCCATTCCAAGAATTAGATCGAACTCCCCTAAAGGAAGTTCCATAAGATCAGCGAGAAAAATTTCTCCCTGAACCTCAAGAGGACAACGCCGAAATACTTTATTCACTAATACCGCTTGTCCTACTGGACTTGTAACTGTAACAGTATTTTCAGTGTTCTCGATCGGAATCTGAAGGTTTCGAGATACTGAGCTCGATACATAGGAGTGAGTGGAGCCATTGTCCAATAATGCAAAGTATGGGGTAGAATAAATAGTAAATGTACCTTCAATAACCTCAGGCTCATCTCTGTCATCACGACATCTAGTTGCATAAACTAAAGCTGGCTGTCTAGCCTCAGAAGCTGTTGGCCCTCTATTTTGCTGAGGTCGGGATCTACTGTCTGTCCTGGACGCTGATCCTCGAGTCTTTCCTTGACTACGATCTCTAATTGGGGTCTGTACTGTAGTCTGCGAACGCACAGGAGTTTGGGTAGTGGTCTGCTCAAACGAAACTAACTGAGGACAATCCCTCCGATAATGACCACTAGATCCACACTGATAGCAAAGACCCATCTTCTTACGACACTCTCCTGAGTGCTGTTTACCACAATACTCACAAAGGGGCCCATTATAATACGACGAGGAACCGCCTCGACTGACAGCTAAAGGTGAGGATGCTGCAGGCCTGAAACGTGTATTGCTTCTCTGAGGGGCTGAAGTACGAGTCCTCTTTCCGGACTGTGCTGATAACTCCATCGGGCCTGAAAATTTCTTAGATCGATCTTGATCAACACGCTCTCTACCAGAAGCTAAAACCTCCACCTCTTCCGCATCTTTGGCTCTGCCCACCAGCACATCAAATATCTCATCCTGATGGGTTACAACTTGCCTACGCAGCTCGTATCTGAGTCCAAGGGCAAATTTACGACATCGATCTCTCTCCGTAGGTACCATACTGAATCCATACTTCAGCAACTTCAGGAACTCGATCTCATATTCAGAAACAGTCATGTCTCCCTGAACCAGGTCTTGAAACTGTTGTCGTCTCTGAGCTAAGTAGCGCTCTCCCAGAAAACGGCTCCGAAAGCGATCCTTAAAGAAATTCCAGGTCAAACGATCGGTAGGAACACTACTGGTCACTGAATCCCACCAAGTGTAGGCATTGCCATCTAACATCGCCACAACACCCTGATATCTTAGTTGAGTCCAAACCCAACTGATCCATGCGTCTCTCTGTATCCTGGAGCCAATCCTCAGCTTCAGTAGGAGCTCCACCTATCTGTCCCCCAAAAGTTCTAACTCCATTGGCAATCAAAGTCTGCGAAATAGGAACCTCAGATACAACACCAGTAGCTCTGACTGCTCCCTGTATTAACTGCAGAAATTGTCTACCAAAATTCTCATCCAAAGCAACTCCGGTAGACTGACTCAATATCGGTCGCCTATTATCGGTGTAGTCATACCAATACCAGCGGCATGAGGCAGATCCGTTGGGGTCGTAGGAGCATGATCACCTATCGGAGGTGGGGGATCTACCCGTATCTCATCGATCGGATCTGCAAATCTAGCCACTCGACCTCGTCCACGGCTAGTTCGACGACTACGTCTAGCACTCATTTTGATAGATCTCAAGTTTACTACAGAAGATAAAACTTAGGGTTAGATAAGCACTTGGAGTCTCATACATAGTTAAATCTTAATAACTTGTGACATGGCCTTAGTAACTCGTTTTGTAAAATATTTCAAAACCGTATTTTCAATGTGGACTCATATACAGTCCGAGGGTTAAAAACCAAAAGCTCTGATACCAATAAATGTAACCCCCTAGACCCGGCCTATGCGTTTCGACTAAG